TTAATCTCACACGTTAAATCTTCCTAAGATTTTTTGGGGGCATTTAGCAGTTATACTGAATTTGCCTTCACTTCTTTTCTTTTTCTTGTTTTTTTCTGGGGCTTGGGGCATATAGTAGAATATAAGACTGTGCGTTTGAGTTTAGATCAGGACCCTCGCTCGCAACCGGCAAGGGACGGCTAGCCCTCGCTGAATTTTGTAGAAAAAGAAAAAGAAAAAATAAGAAAATTTAAATAAATTAAAAATTGAATAAATTAAAAAGTAACCTTTTTATAATTCACTTAAGATTATTAGATAACCTATTTATGATCTATTTAAAACCCATTAAGTGTTAGGCCCACTTAAGCTTGTTTTAAAAACTTAAAACAACCCATTCATGACCCACACCCTTAAATATAAGTTAAAATATGGGTTTTAAACTCATTTTGCTACCTCTACTACATGAATCCAATACGAAATCGATACACCACATGTACTAATAACTAATAGTGGCTAGTCCAATTCCATCGAGACAACGTTCAATTTCAGTCTCGGCGTGCATTCCATAACAGTGCGCGTTTGTCGTATCGGCATGCACTCTACTAACGGCGTGCATTCATAACATGCAACCTCAATCAACATTTAGTATGCAATTTTATCAAGACAGTTAGTAATTGGAAGTCAAGCATGCCATCTTAGGGCAGGGCATGATTTCACAGTAACGTGCAATTTCAATGCAGCACGTGATTCAGACTTACCAGCTAACTTCTTCAAATCGGCCTCAACAGTTTTTCCACCTTTCTTCCTCTTCTTCGGTCGAACAACCTGCTTAAATCTGATTGCGAAACCCTACTCTATATATGATATCTATTGTATGTATAACCGAAATCTATATTATTAACGCGACGACATTGTTTACTTAAATAAAATTAACCAAAACCGATCTTTTAGTTAAATTGTGCTGTAAAAAAGTTTCTTTTTGCCGCGACATGGCACGGGTGAGCCCCCACAATAGTAGACAATACAACGAGCCAATTAACGTTCATGTGACATATTAATGCATGGGGCCATCGTTTAGTTTCATAGTTATAGATTCTGCACATGACTCTAAATTTGAAGAATCGAATGTGGTCGGGTTTTGCTTTTAGGGTAAAGTTTGATGGGTTTAATCTTCAGGAAGCCGAACAATGGATTACAGTCGGGCAAGATGATCAAGAAATGGTGCCAAGTATTTTCCTGAATAACGAGAGTTCCACACGACCTAAAGTAATCGCCTTCCTTTCATTGGATCTGTAACTAGTTTAATGCCCGCACCGTTGAAATATAAACCCCAGAGTCGAACGACGTGAGAAATTTCAACGGGCGCGTTGCGCGGACTTAAAAACAGTCATCCATGTCCTGAATTTGATCTTACTTAGGCTCCGTTCGTTTGGCGGAAAATATTCTTCCGGAAAATATTTTCCGGATTTTCCGGTGTTCGGGGGGCGGAAAACGTTTTCCGTGGAAAAATATTTTCCTTCCCCCCTTCACAAAATAGCCTAAGTCTATGGAAAATGACTTCCGCTTCTTTAAAAGTGGAAATCATTTTCCGGAGCTTCTTCTTCTTTTTCTTCACTAAGGTCGCCGGCCACCATCGCCTCCAGTCGCCGGCCGCCGCCGCCGCCGGCCGCCGCCACCGCCACCGCCGGCCGGCGGCCGGCGCGCCGCCGCCGGCTTGCCGCCTCCGCCCGCCACGCGGTCGCCGGCCGCAGCCCGTCGTCGGCCGGCTTGCCGCGGTCGCCGCCGCCGCCGTCGCGGTCGCCGGCCACCGCCGCCGCCGCCACCGCCGGCGAAAAATATTTTCCGAAACTTTTTCATATTGGTCACCGAACACCGGAAAATTATGTTCCGGGAAAACATTTTCCAGGAAAATGACTTCCGGGAAAATATTTTTCAAAAGGAGAATATTTTCCGCCAAACGAACGGAGCCTTAGAGTTTAATCGAATGGGTTACTGGATTTTCACCTAAAAGCCTATATTAATGAATCTTTTTCATCTTCGCTTTTACCAAGACGATTATTGATTTTCTCGAACAGTAAATAGGACACAAAGGAGCCTAGAAGCAAACACGTACAGTGCAGTATCTACGAGAGAAAAAGTATAAAAAAAGTTATAAACCTGTTGCATTTATACAAATTCAGTCATAAATCTTTCAATAAGACCAATTTAATCATAAACCTTTTCTTATTGGTATCAATTCAGTCCATCCGGTCAATTTAGGCCGAAAACGGCGCTGACGTGGATAAATTTTATACTTTTTAAATAATTTTTTCAGATTTTTCTTTTCTTTTCCCAGAACTGGTTGGCCGGCGAGGGCCACCGCGCCCTCGCCTGGTCTGAACGAGGGCTTCGCCGCCCTCGCCTGTGGCTGGCGAAGGTCGCTGGCCTACCAGTTCTAGGAATGGAAAAAAGAGAAAAAAAGAAAAAAAGAAAAATATATGAAAAAAATTATTAAAAAATTATAATTTTCGTCCACGTTAGTGTCGGTAGTGTCCCGTCGGATCGTCGGCGATCATGTCGGTGATTTCCAACCTAAATTAATTGAATAGACTGAATTAATATCAGTATAAAAATATTTATGATTAAATTGATCTTATTTAGAGATTTGGAACTGAATAACTACAAATGTAATAGGTTTAATATTTTTTTGGTACTTTTCCCAACAGGTGCTAAATTTGCCCAAGTACAAATGTACCGATTGCACGTGTCGTGACTCAAATGAGTATAGCGGCTATTGTTGACCGGATAGGGACGCATATATTTATGCCGAAGCTATCTTCTGAGTCACACGACTTTTGATGATGATGTCATATAAGTCTCCAAGTATCTTCTACCATATTTTCACGGCCGATTTAGGTAATTCCGTTTGTTTCGCAAAAAATTAATAATTTTATATATTTTTTATAAAAATAATCACTTATATCGTTTAAAAAATAAATTAATAAAAAATATTTTTATTATTCACGAAAAAATTTAAATATGAATTATTATTGATGATACAAATATTTTCGTCGATTAATTATTTCAAGCGATGTAAGAAATCATTTTTAGAAAAGTGTTATTCAAATCATTCGTTTTCCACTAAACAAAAATAACTCGAAGGTAGCTCACAAGGGCCAAAATCGCGTATAAAATCGCAAGGGCTATTATCCCTCGACATGACAGACCTTCCTCCTCACTTTCTACCGAATAATAGAGGGAATAGAAACAATAAAATTATACATAAAAAATAATTTTACGATAGAGTTAGCAATGAAATAAATATTAACAATAAAATAATAACAGTTGTTGTGTTTGGGAGCAAAGGAAATATTATTAACTCCATTATCACCTCGACCACCAACTTGTTAATTAGTTAACCATTCGCTCACGTCACATTCAATCGGTCACATTCACCTACCTTTAATAATATCCAAAAAGTCAATGATATACTGATTAATCACCTAATTTAATTAGTATGTGCCATCTAGAGAGCAATGATTCACTCCACAAATTGCTACGATACGTGTTGTAATCGATGTCCACTGAGAATCATATTCAAAACACCGTGTAAATCGGCTGCTCACCGCTTGTTTTTGACTAATCATTCGTTGGTCGAAAAGCCTTAGGAAGTCGAACAAAAGCTAACTCCGTCCCGTCCATTAACTCCATACCATAAGTTCACATGACCTTTCGATGTTAATCTAATGTCAATTACTGTTAATTAAGGTAACTACGAGTCGGCTATGTGTCGTGTGGAGCCACGAATGTTGTCCTCTTTTGGTAGGACGACAATCGCGCGTGCTTATTATTTCGAGGTCATCTCATCTAACATAAAATAAAATAAAATGGATGGTAAGGCTCGGTTCGTTTTGCGAAAAATATTTTTCGGAAAACATTATCTTCATTTTACGGCGTTTGGATCTCTTTGGAAAATAAATCAACGGAAAATGTTTTCTTAGTCAACGGAAAATCTATGTTTAAATTTAGAAAAATGATCTCCTTTTTTTTAAAATCATAATCATATTTTAAATATGATTAGATTTCGACACTTGGATCAGAAACTCTGCATTTTGGCACAGTTGGCAACGGACTCGGGTCTAGAGGCCGAGGCCAGCTGGTCCACCGGGGGTCCATTGAGGCCAAGCCTAGGTCCAAAGTGGTCGGGTTCGGAACTCCGATGCCTGAGCCTGGGTCCACAGAGGTTGGTCTCAAGACAAGTCACTAGCACTCGAATAAGGTATTTTTATTTAGGAAAATCAAATCAGATTTTCATAACCAAAACGACGGAAAATATTTTCTAGTTTATCATTTGGCTTCAACCATACACCGAAAAATATTATCATTTTCCTGTAGGATATTTTCCAGAAATGACACATTTTTCACGAAACATATTTATGGATTGTGCCAAAAGGAAAACAAAATAGTAAGATATTCAATTATGCATACTTGCTTTATACATGTAAAGTTGAATGGGGGATATTCTTTAATTTCGTTCTTGTTCTCTTTTCCCTATATTTAGTCACAATTTGTATATCTCCTTACTCATGAGATTTGAGTATAGCGTCTCTCTTTTGTAAGATACTACTAATCCTTACTTCCATGGAGTTTTAGAATAATGTTTTTTCTTTATATAATAACATTTTTATACGAATGAATCCTCGTTAACTAGATATATTATTTATACTTTTTTTCCTTGCGAAACGATTTTTTTACTGTTATTCTGTAATTTCCATTATAAATATTGAATTTAAGGAAATAATGGACAGCAGTTTTACAATATATTGAACCGGCAATTTTAATTAGTAAAATTAACACCTGCGCGATGCGCGGCCATAGCGTCTAGTGTATGTTGTAATTATCCACGGTGCAAAAATCAGATTAGACAATGAACCAACAAAACAAAACACCCTTTGCAAACATTACCATACCAATCGCATGAAATACGACACTAAATGAACGAATATTATCGACGAAAATCTAATTGACGAAGAAGGCACGAATGAATAAGAAACCATCCAAAATTCTTATCTAATTATTTCGAAACTTATGTCTCTCTTTAATTTCATTTTTACAGATGGCTTGCGAGGGCAAATTGTTAAATTTCTTCTCTGCATTCTCTCTACTCATTAGCAAAAGAAAAAACCTACATCATCATCATCATCCACTACACATATTACCCACACAAACATTCACATGTTAACCTTCCTTCTCCTTTTGCTTCCACTCCAATCCCATGAACCGGCACGGCGAATACCTAATCTTGTACTCCGATATCGTCTCGAGCTTCGGCGACCACACTTGCTCCCTCGCCCCGACCAGCTGCTCGTACTGCTTCTGCAGTTCCGGCGTGCTACAGAGCGTGCCGCGGCAAGGGCTGACCGAACTGTTATTGCCGCTCGAATCGTTCCCGCCGTCGATCCCTTTCCCTTTCGTGATCAACCTCGTGATGAACTCCGGCACGACCTTGATCGAAACCCTCCCGTCCTTGCCCTTGATGTACTCGAAGGGGCCGTCCCCGCCGAAGCTCATCGGGCCGGGCCTCGGGCTCGCCGAGCCCAGCGCGGCGAGGGAGGAGGCGGAGAGCATGGCGCTGCCGTGGCTCGGGAAGCAGTCGAGCGGGAGGACGAAGTACGTCTCGCCTGGCATGAGGTCGTCGTCGATGGCGAGGGCGGGGATCGGGCGGCCGAGGAAGAAGGAGTCCGCGTGGCACACCATCTTGTCCGGGAACTCGAACATGATCTCGCCGGCGACGTGCTTCCCCGTCAGCGTCCTCGTCGCCCCCTCCCAAAAGATGAGCTCCACCTGTGATCTGGAGCTGCGCCGGTGGTGGCCACATGGTGACACCACATTTCCCATGAAAATGAACGAACGAATGCGTCTGCGTCTGCGTCTGCGTCTGCGAGAGAGAGAGAGAGAGAGAGAGAGAGAGAGAGAGAGAGATGCGAACAAAGGAGGAGATGAGGGACTGAGGGTTTCGAGTCGTAATATAAGAAAAAAGCGAAGCAATCATTGACTTTCTCCAAGTAGCAAGAGAGTCTTGATTTTATTTCGTGCTAGGGTTTTTCTTTTGTCCTCTGAGGCTTTGGTCAAAGATGCCGGCTTTGACCGGCTCTGGCAGATGTACTCTTGCTAGTGAGAGATTACGACGTACCCAAAAGACACACCATTCTAAATTACCCAAGATTTCTTGCTTGTATTTAGTCCAAAAAAACAAAAAGACCGGTAGTGTGAAATTAGCCTCTCCTCGGCGCGCGATGAATAAAGCCAATCACGATACAAAAAAAATTAAAGTCTCGCATTCTTACTATCATAGAGAGTCGTTTCGAGGATTGTGTGGTGGACGAAATCCCGAGAATGTCTAACTACTTTTGAAATTTGAATTTTATTATTTTGACCCAAAAGAAATTAATTTTTTTATATGTAGGGGGTGGGGGGGGATGATGAGGTGTATATGATTGCGTGATCGCCTCGAAAGCACGAAAAGGAAGGAAGGAAGGGAAGTTTTCTTCCGGTCAGAGAGTATAAACAAGCACGAGATCCCATCCCACCCGTATCTTCGGAATAGTCAATTGAAGTTAGAACTAATCGACGAGACCGATTGGTTAAATTAAGTCATATGTAATTAAGCAAACGAATTTCATATTGGAATGAAAGGATTTCTTGCACGCTTTTGCAGGCACTGCCGACTTGCAAAGCCAATTTAATGATATAGGGTCGGATGGAATTGAAAGTATCTAGGAAGAGGAAAGGCATTCTTATCGCTTGTTTTGAAACTATTTTGACCGTAATTAAACATCGTAGAATGTTCTGCGAAAACGAAATCTAATTTGGAATGAGTCCTGCAATTTTACGCGAGAGCTGAAAAATATGAGCGTGGGAGTGACGTCACGGTTTTTTCTTTTTAAGTTGGTCACATCACGTACATATTACAGAGTCGTGGAGAATCAATAAGGACATCAGAATAATCCTCGTTGCCTATGCAAAATCACTACGGATCTCGTTGGTATGCGGGTATCGGCACAAGCCCAGAAGATAAATTAAAACCTAGGGTTTATTTGTTTCGCGGAAAATGAATGATCTGAAAAATATTTTTCTAAAAGAAATCGCTTGAAATAATTAGATAATGAAAAAACGCCTTTTTTGTGATTCGCAAAAACGTATAGACATAAATTATTATCGAACCTAAATTGTAAACAATTTCCTTTTCAAATTACTCATTATTCACGAAAATAAACGAAACCCTAAATACGAATTTGCGATGAATGGTTCGACATGCCGTAAATTGCAAGTTAGGGCATTGAAATTGTGCATTCCCTTGGCGGGTGTGATGCAACCAAGTGGGCGTTGACCGCCGTACCAATTGCCTGTCAATAAAGGCACGGTTGGACTCAACTGAAACATCAAATCACCCATTCATTGCTCTCCTCCTTCTACGTGCTTTCTCTATTGACCCCTCGATGCGGTGCTTCTCGGTCTAGTTGCAAGAGTTATCTCAATTTTTGGTTGGCTGCTGCATGCATCGACGATCCATATATCCAATATTGAGTTGTGGATGTCGTGATAAATGCACCGTTAACAACAAAATCGAGAGAGAGATCAGATGGGAGAGAGCCTAGGGTTAGCTCTCGATGTTATTGCGGGCGGTGTCCACGTTCGTTATCCGCTAATTAGAAGAGTGATCTGAGGAAATTTTCGTCGATTAAGAGATGAGAGAAAACATGACCCTTGTGTTGATGGCCGGTATGTCGCCGTGATTTCTCTAGAGAATAAGAGCAATTGGGAGGATTCCTAAATTACAAGGTTCAATTTCTACTCCGAGAAAAGTAAAACATTTATCAGTAAGGTTTCTTTTTTTTTTTGGTAAGGATTTATCAGTAAGGTTAATATCACGAAAAATCAAAAACTGGTACATTTGTGACAAATTTACCCCAAATTATTTTTTTGACCATAAAAAACCCCAAACTGATACACTTATAACAAATTTATCCTCCGTTAGTTTCTGTTAAATTTTACTATTAAATTACTAAATTTGATGACACGTGATAGTTGACGGATGTACCAGTTTGGGGTTTTACCCCTTTGTACCAATTTGTGGTTTTTTTTTATATTAATCCAATTTAACGGATACTAGCGGAGGGTAAATTTGTCACAAATGTACCAGTTTGAGATTTTTAGTGGTCAAAAAATTAGTTTGGGGTAAAATTGTCACAAGTGTACTAGTTTTGAATTTTTGATGGTAAAAAAATTAGTTCGGGATAAAATTGTTACAAGTATACTAATGTGGGGTTTTTTGTGATAAAAAAATAGTTCGGGTTAAATTTATCACAGATGAACCAGTTTGGGATTTTTGGTGATCAAAAAATTAATTCAGGGTAAAATTGTCACAAATATACAGGTTTGGGGTTTTCGTGGTATTAACTCTTATGATAGGAAAATAGTTAGGATAACTGAACATGCACTGTGAGGTAGGTAATATTTTGTATATTTGTGTCATAACCATGTTGGATCAAATTTTAGGCTTGACCCAAACACGATAGGGTTATTACTCGTGTCATATCTTTGGAACCCGAACACGACATGTTTATTAAATAGGTCATATGATACGACACTTTTGACAAGTTGAACGTGTGAAAAATGTTTAAATGCGTATTAAAGCGTCTAAATGAATGTATCTAGGCGTGTTGTGCTGATACGAGTTACAAGTTAACCCGTTTAATCGAAACTTATCCAAATGTACCTAAACATTCCATGGTGAAAGAGGCAATATGCATGTTAATCCGTACAATAAAACACGTCTCTATCGCGTGTCGTAAACTGGTCGAAAGGGTCAACCCGTGCATGCACGACATGTTTATCATTCGTACGAATGGAAACAATTATATCCAATAGGATCGTGTTTGACAACGTGCGGTGCAAACGGGTCGCGTCGAGAACGACACGGCGCTATGTACATGGATATCACGCGGTGGACCCTTTTCCGTTTCTCGATTCGTTCCGTCCGAACTCCGAAGTCCTCATCACGCAATCCCTCGCTCGGCATTAGTTTTCCGGCATCTCGTCCGGACCTATTCGGGGTTTCTATCCGGGCCGGACGAGATTAGTTTCGCTCCGTTTCCGGGTCTTCCATGCGGGCGACCTCAACACGAACATGCATGGAAACTACAGTCGGACCCGATTTGAAGGGGTCGTCGGGTCCCCGGTGTCCCTGCGCCGTAGACTTGGGAACAGACAACTCTCCGCGATCGCAAAAGGGCCGAGGTACACAACGATACGGGTCTGAACGAGAAGGGTCACCGAAAGCGACGGGGTCGATCGACATATATACACGCGTGCATGCACCTCGTAATCACGACGACTCGCCGTTCGAGCATCTCCCACTTTACACACGGACCCAAACGTTAACCACGTGATCATATCTTCGTTTTTCCTGCCGTATGAAGAAGTGTTTTCGCGTGGGCTCAGGAGACGAGGGAGTTAATCGCACGATCAAGAATGGTCGTGAGGAGAACGATGCGCTGATCCTTTGAATCCGGTATCGACGAGTGTCATCCCCACCTATAACAACGTTCTCTTTTGGGCCTTTGAACAAAGATCGATACGGTCTCGGAGAGCAGCTTTGGCAACGTAGGATTTTATGTAATGATATCGCGAAATGACCACGAAATCAATTCGTGGGTAGAGTGCGATTGGTTTAGTATGTAGTAGTGACGGTTATCCGTGGTGATATATATATGCATGAAACTTGAAAAAATGACCAGGGCTTAAGGCCTTAGGAGCTCGCCTATGGTTTAGTATATGATTCTTGCTCGACGACGTGCAGTTTCATGCTCCGTTTGTTTCGCGGAAAAATGAATGATTCATAACATATTTTCTTAAAATTAATCGCTTGCATTGTTCGAAATAATTAATCGATGAAAAATATTTACATTATCTACAACAATTTATCTCTATACATTTTTTTGTAGACAATGCAAAAATCGTTCGTTCGTTCAATTTTGTAAGCAATAGAAATGATTATTTTGAAAAAAATATTTTTCGTATCATTCACCTTCCGTAAAACACACGCGTCCTTAATTGGATTAGAATCGTCTATATATAGGGGATGATTTTACATGTGCAATCGCCTCGAATTTTCCCCCATGTTAGAGTTGCCTTTTCACGTCGAGAATTCGAACTCCGAATATCATGCGGCGTAAAAAACGGCCGATATTGTTAATTTGTGCTGGGAAAATGGTCGATATTATTGGTCGTTAGTCTTTCTTGAATTGGTAGGATATTATATTTAAATGAAGAGAAATTGCTATAAAAAAAATAAAAGAGAGGTTAGAGAGTGGTCAAAAGTAAACCAAACCTATGACCTTGTTCCCCATTAAACTAATTAGACTACCCTTAAAACAGGGACTTATTTTTTTTCCAAAAAAAAAAACAGGGACTTAAATGACCGAGATACCCTTTGTCAACTCATTATAGATATATATTATAAATGATTCACTTTATTTGACTGACGAAGCAAACAAACAATTACATATGAAAAATATAGGATTAGAAAATAATAAATAAAAAAGGTTGCCCTTATTCGAAATGCCTCGTGATCTTCAACCAATTGCCATGGTAGCTTGTTTCCAATACTCGGCGACTCGATCAAATCAAGCATCCGCAATTTCAGAACCTCCCCGTCGAGCTGCCCGTTCTCCTCGATTGAAGTAGGTGGGTCAATTCCCTCCCTTAGAACCCTACTCGAGAGTTTCCCGCCACGTATGACTCATTATTCAATTCTCGCGGCGTCCCTGTTTTTTTTTTTTTCCCTCGAGTTTACCAAAAGCAAAAGGGGTTAATTCCGCGAGTTTCAAACTCGAATTTTCATTAAATATTGTAACCTTATTTGGTACAAATTTGGTTGTTT